GCGTGGCTTGGTGGGCGTGGCAGGGGAAGGATACTTATTCTGCCCCAGCTACGGACCCCAAAGAATGCAGCACACACAAAGTCTGTTCATACCTTAGTTTACTGAATTAACCAGTCTTTTACAACAACGGCTGTTAATAAATTGCATTAACAGCCGCCAAGAATTCAAAGAATAATAACTGAAAGCTTACTGTGGTTGGCAGAATGCCCAGAAGCAATTTGCAGGAAGCTGATAAGATAAGCAAGACAGGACATGAAGGTATGTGAACTAAATTGTTCCCTGCAAATTGCTTCAGTCGGCGTTCCTCCTTAAATAGGCTAAGGGAGTGGCCAATTAGCCCCAAGCCTTACTCTCGAGGAGATCTCCTCCTGAGGAGCCACTCCTGCCTTTTGGCAGCTCTGCATGCCCGTGTATTGAGAAGAAGCTCCTCCTCTTCGTCCTCTTCACTTAAAGGAGCTTCTGGAGGTTCTGAAGGCCCTGGCTGAATCCCTGCCTCTGGCACCACATCTTTTCCAGACTACTCATTGTCCGACTCGAGTGCCAGCTGCACAGGCTGCTGGCGCAGCACCACACCAGCCTCCTCGCTGTCTGAATCAGCTACTAGCTGCACAGGCCGCGTATGGGCCACAACAATACTGTAAAATCTCCATTCCCACCCCAAACCAGGGGAAGAATACTGCAAAATCTACATTTCCTCCCGATCAACTGGGACTTGGGAGGCAGAGAATAGATGGGGGTGGGGCTAGTCAGAATTTTTACTACTGGTTCTCCGAACTACTCAAAATTTCCGCTACTGGTTCTCCAGAACTGGTCAGAACCTGCTGAAACCCACCTCTGGATCACATGACCCCGGGACACTGCAACTGTCACACATATGAATCAGTTGCCAAGCGTCCGAATTTTGATCAGGTGACCATGGAGTTGCTGCAATGGTCATAAGTGTGAAAAACGATCATAAGTCACTTTTTTCAGTGCTGTTGTAGCTTCGAACGGTCATTAAACGAACTGTTGTAAGTCGAGGACTATCTGTATTAAGCAAAGCACAGAAAGGTGAGAAGCAGTGGAAAAAAGAAATTAATGTCAGGAGATAAGAAAAGGAAAGGAAAGGAAATGAAAGGAAAGGAAAGGAAAGAAAAGGAAAGGAAACTAGCTAAATTTATGGGCTATGGATGAAATGAAAGAAATGTCATGAGCACAAGCAAAAGAAAAAAAAGAATTTACTGGGTCATATTTGTGCTGAATTAGGGAGATGTGAAGGTGAAATACTGAAATACTTCCAGAATTCCTTTACCTTAGTTTCATCCCAAATCATTGAATCCTGTTTCATTACTTTCACTCTTTTGGAGGCCCCTGGCAAACTTGCAAAACTATGGAACTCTGGAAACTTGCAACACTATGTTATATTTCCATCAGAATCACTTTGCATTTTCTTTGCCTCTTTTAAACTTTGCCTCTTGTCTTTGTTCTATGCAAATCTGTCTTCTGAACCCGTTTCAAGATTTAAAAATGGGAATATGGTGCTACATTGGCTTCCTTCCTTCCTCCATGGCTGTTCCCAGTTGGTATTGTTGGGAATGAGAGATTATAGCCTAAGGCTCCTTACATTATGGAAGATCTCCAGGGCTCAAGTCTCTTTCTGCTCTTAACACCTGCTGGCTCTCTTTAAGCTTCCAGGTGCATTTTAAGGGTTTTGGTTATCCTTCTTAAAGCCTTTCATAGCACAAGGCTGGGTTACCTGTGGGACTGGCTGTCTCTACTTGTCCTATAAAATCCAGCACAGCAGTCATGCTTCAGGTCACTTCCATGAAACAATGCCACTTAGTGAGACCCAGGAGTCTATCTTCTTTGTCACCATGCCTCCTTTATGGGATATCTCCCAAGATTCAGACAGTCCCAACTCTTCTATCTCTTTGGAAATCCCAAGGAACATTCCCCCCCCCAAGTATTGGACTTCAATGTAAGATGAGCTTCTATAGAGCATAAAATCCTTGAATGAGATATATGTGGATGGGTCTCAGGTGCTATTATTATTTTGCTTATTTTGTTGGGCTTTCTGTTTATAGCTTTATTTTTAATTCCTGGCTTTATATTTTTATTGTAAATTGCCCAGGGTTGTTTTGGCAAATTGCATAAATTATATAAATCTAACAAATTCTCACTCTTCTTCTCTATATACTTGTAGTATATAGATATTGTACGTATCCTGCACAATAGTTGTAGTCACCCTAATGTTTTTACAACATTCTCTTATACACATTTTTCTCTCTCTTTCTGTCTCTTCTACTGTATCATTTCCGCTATTCTTTTTTTTTATAGTCCCTATTAGGCTCTTTCCATACAGTTCTTTGGTAGCTTCCATATCAACATTCTTTATATGCACTTTGCATTTGTTCACTTGGAAGAGTCATCTATTCCAGTCAATCCATGTATTTATATTCTAATAGTTTTTCAGACATGATCCATATTTTTTCTTCCCACAACCTTTCTACTTTTCCCCTCATTTTTTCCACTTCTTTTTCTTCTATGTCCATTTCCTCCCAACATATACTCTACCAGAGTAGAGTCAGTCTTACATTCAGCAACCTTTCAGCATTCTTCTTTATTAATTCTCTCAGCCAGTCATCACAAAAGTTCAAATGAATCATGCTTTCAGATTTAGACTTCTTCCTTTGCCAAGTGTACACATGAACAGAATTTACTTAAACCATGTAATTGAAAGAGACCTTTTCCTAAGTATGGAGTTCTGTGTGAAACCTTAGTACTACTTTTTAAAAGTAGATACTCACCAATGACTTAAAAAAAAAACTTTCTCACCTTGTTTCCACCCATTAACCAAAATAACCTTTTTCTCTTCCATTAATATGGAATGTGGCATATTTTTCCATAAATTGCTCCTTGTTATTTTTCATTACCATTATACAGTCTATAATCTTCTACTTTTACCCATACTCCCAACAGTATAGATGATGCTAATTCATACTTCCTGACATCATTCAGTTGATTCACTCTTAATTAACCTTATAGCTTCAGTACATTTTGTATTATTGCATGGTTGAATCACACAAGATCATTCGCATTTTTCCTTCCCCTTTCTCTCTCTTAGAAATGTAATGTTTTTATGAAACTATTTCCTTTGTCTAATTTCCTTTAATTCAAACTCTTCACCACATACTCATTCTACACTTCAAGTTACAATCTTCCATATACCATGGTTGTACCCAGAGAGCGCCATGGATACTGATCTCAATTGCTCATCATGATTTGGAGCAATTAAAACTTTTACATAATGCCTTTTATCTGTTGGCTAGGTTACCTGTCTCAAACATACCCATGCCTTATGTAGCATATAGAAGGATACAAGAATATTCTTGTATTGATAGTGATTATCAATGATAGTGATATCAGTTCTCCCCAAGCAATATACCAAAATGTATATCAATATATCAAAAAATATATCTTTAATTATCAATAAAAGCAATAAGCAGACAAAACAAAAAGCCTTAGTAAATTGAATTATTTAAAAGTACCAATTTACAATGATCATAAAATACTCTATAGCAGTGTTTCTTAATCTTGGCAAGTTTAAAGATGTGTGGATTTCAACTCCCACAATTCTCCAGCCAGCATGACTCCCCTATAGGGAGTCTCTATAGGGAGTCAAATAAACTGAGGATACCAAATTTAAAAAGGTGACTCTAGTTAGAGGCAACAGAGAGAAATATCATATTCTGTCAGGTACAAGCTACATTATTCATCCAATTTTTATGCCACCCTTTGAATAGAAGTACCTTCTTGAGCAAATATATCTATATAATAGAAATAGAAAACAACAGGTGGATGATTTAAAAAGTGGGGAAAAAATGAACTCCTAATATTCCAGACTTTTCAATTTATTTCTCTTCAATACAATTCTTAAAAAGAAAGTTTGATTTGAGTGTCCTTCTGGCTAAGGTTTTAGACTGTTGCCTTTTGAGATTTATAAAAAAGAAAGAAACTATGACAAGAGCTCTTAAAACATTGAGGCTGGAATCTTGAATGTAGAGTCAGTTTTTGAATTTGGCTGTCCCTGTGAAATGCTGTCAGTTTTAAAGACAGCTTTTTGCCTCTTGTGATAACTATACTTTTGTGTCATAAAACCAACACTGCTAGAGCAATACTACAAAACTGTGTCATATTCAAGCACTTTCTTGTTTTCCTTGAAAAGTCATCCAGATTTTTGTGAGAAAGGACATGAGTGTATGTATTGATGTCTGTACATATAAAAATTCTGTGGCTTTGGGAAATTCTGTGATTGCTAGATGTTCAGATTTGGTATGGAGCATAAATAAATTTGGATTTCCCTAATCTGCAGCCAGCACCTCTGAAAGGTACCTTTTTGGAGACGATATTTGTGGCATCAATCTTTTGGGAAGTCTAAGATGACACCGGAATACCGATTCCTCAGTCTGCATTAAAACCTTACTGTCTTTCACCATCCTCTTTTTCACAGACATGTGGTATCTTCTCACATCTCAGTCCAATACAAATTAGCCACAAGGGAGTTAGAATAAACATGGGAGAGGGATACACTGGAATTATTGGGGTTCCTGAGTAAATATCTAGATCTTGGAGACTTCCACTATGGTGGGAGTTGGCTTTCAAGATGTTCCTCAAGATGTCCTCAGATATGTTGGACTTCAACTCTCAGAATCCCTAATCAACACACCTGGAGGTCATTCGCTCCATCAGAATACGTTGCCCCACCCTTGGCACCCTGAAAGGACTTCAACAACTCCCCAAATTTTGGCAATTGCTAGGATGCCTTGGGAATTCTGGGAGTTGAAGTCCACATATGAAGGCTGATACTGGGGAAAGACAGTTAATATCCCCAGTTTTGGAGCAATTCGGAAAGGTGGGGTGGGGCCCCCGGGAAGCCACCCCATAGCAGAACACGGGGGAAATTTAAAAAAAAAAGAAAAGGAGGCGATGGGGTGGAGGAGATGGTCCAGCGGCGACTTTACCAGATCTGAGCTTCAGCCACGAAGTTGAGCTTGTTTTTCTGGGACATGGCCGAGGCTTTCTCGAACTAGCCAACGTCTGTCTCCGGCCAGGAGGAAGACAAACGTCCCACTCAGTTGGGGTCGGGTCCAGGCACAAGCCGGCGAGGCACAAGGCAGAGACGAGACGCGCTGGCGGGCTTGCTGCGGCGGCTTCCGTTGCCAGGCGACGGCTGGGCAACGCGGAGGGACGGAAGGTGGAGGCCGGGCGCTTCTGCCAAGGATGGCTGGATGGATGAAGTTGCTCCAGAGGAGGGCAGGGTCCTGGCTTCACGCTTGAGATAAGAGGGAGAACGAACAGTGGTCTGTGTGTGTGTGTGTGTGTGAGAGAGAGAGAGAGAGAGAGAGAGAGAGGGAAGGAGGGAGGGAGAGAGAATGAGAGAAAAAATGAAAGAGAGAGAGAGGGGGAGGGAAGGAGTGTGAGGGAGAGAGAGGGAGGAAGGGAGAGAGAGAAAGAATGAAAGAGAGGGAGAATGAGAGAGAGGGAGAGAGAGTGGGAGGGAGAGAGAGAATGAGGGAAAGAAAGAATGAAAGAGGGGGAGAGAGGGAGGAAGGGAGAGAGAGAATGAGAGAAAGAATGAAAGAGAGGGAGAATGAGGGGGAGAGAGAGAGAGAGGGAGGGAGAGAGAGAATGAGGGAAAGAAAGAATGAAAGAGGGAGAGAGGGGGGACAGAGGGAGAGAGGGAGGGAGGGAGAGAGAGAGAATGAGAGAAAGAGAAAAAATGAAAGAGAGAAAGGGGGAGGGAAAGAGAGAGAGAATGAGAGAAAGAATGAAAGGGAGAATGAGAGAGAGGAGGAGAGTGAGGGAGGGAGAGAGAATGAAAGAGAGAGAGAATGAAAAAGAGAGGGAGGGAGGGAAGGAGTGTGAAGGAGAGGGAGGGAGGGAGGGAGGGAGGGAGAAAGAGAGAGACAATGAGAGAAAGAAAGAATGAAAGAGGGAGAGAGAGGGGGGGACAGAGGGAGAGAGAGAGAGACTGACCCTCAGCCTTTGTCCTGTGTTTTCCTAAAGACAGTTTTTATTAGATCACAGGAGAACAGCTAAGATCCTGCTTGTGAACAACTTTTTCAGAACATCATCTTGTATTGTTTTAAAGCAGTTGGCCTTGCAGATTTAACACTTTTATTGCTTATTTAGCTGTGCAGAATTATCACATTTTCTGCCACGTAGAAATGTTACGGCAAATTCAAAATAATAATTTAAATGCTACATTCTAGCACTTAACTTTATAGCTCACAAACACATTTTTGTCATGGGGATTAAGATTCTATTGCTTACAAAACTTTTTTTATTCCATCCTTCACTTCTTACCTTTCTATGCTCAGATGAATTATACATTTTATTAAATTCCTGTTTACTTCAAATAAACAGATGTTATAAAGAAGCTTAACTTCAAGATTAACGTAGGATTAATAATAAATGAGAACTGTTACAGTTTATACCAGGGATGGGGGGGACTATGGCCTTTGTATGATCTGTGAACTTCAACTCCCAGAATTCCTGAGCCAGGAATTCTGGGAGTTGAAGTTCACAGATTGTAAAAGGACCATAGTTTCCCAACCATGGTTTAAACGAAGCCTGCTTCATGCTGCATTTAGTTATATATTGAATAAAAGTTGCCCCACAGTATAAATCAGTGCATCGCTGTGTTCTCAATAGAAAACTGTTTTAAGAAGAAGGTGGATGGTGGACTATTTAAATGAAAAAGACAGTTGGCTTCATTTTTTGTTGTTGAAATGTTTTATACAGCCACTGCAAGATGGAAAAAAAATGTTCTGGAAAGTTGATAGAAAGCCAAAAATATTAATACATTAGAACATAGTGAACTTTTTACAAGCTGTAAATATTTTCTCAGACTTTCAAATATAGCTAGGAAGTATGTTCAGCCATTCTTTTCTCAACCATCTAAAATCAGTGAATAATACACATTCACCCCTTCCTAATAATTTGCTTTATTGTTTGCTACATATGAAAAATATCTTTCATTGAGGGGATTAATTGTGTAGCATTAGGGTCAGTAGTACTGTGAGAAACAGTTATGTGTGCCTCTGTCCATGAAGCATCATTAAGTCAGGATTTGGACTTCATATTTCCAGTAATTTAGCTCAACTTTCCCCCTTCTGGTGGCAATAAAAAGACAAAATTATATTTATTTTAATTGCAATGATTTTACAATCATATATGATACTATAGGTAGTCCTTGACTTATGACCACAATCGAGCCCAACATTTCTGTTGCTAAGCGAGACATTTGTTAAGTGAACTTTGCCCCATTTTACGACCTTTTTTGCTATGGTGTTAAGTGAATCATTGCAGTTAAGTTAGTAACATGGTTGTTAAGTGAATCTGGCTTTCTCATTGACTTTGTTTGTCAGAAGGTTACAAAAAGTGATCACATGACTCAAGGACACAACAATTGGCATAAATATGAAGCAGTTGCCAAGCATCTGAATTTTGATCACATGACCATGGGGATGTTACAATGGTCGTAAGTATAAAGAAGGTCATAAGTTACATTTTTCAGTGCTGTTGTAACTTTGAACAATCACTAAATGAACTGTAAGTCAAGGACTAACTGTATACATAGTAGTTACAGATAGTCTGTTGTGGCCCGCTAGTGGTAGCTGATTCCGACAGTGAGGAAGCTGGTGAGGTGATTCGCCAGCAGCCTGTGCAGCTGGCACCTGAGTCAGACAATGAGGAGACTAGAGAAGATTTGGTGCCAGAGGCGGGGATTCAGCCAGGGCCTTCAGAACCTCCAGAAGCTCCCATAAGTGAAGAGGACGAAGAGGAGGAGCCTCTTCTCAATGTACAGGCGTGCAGGGCTGCCAAAAGGCAGAAGTGGCTCCTCAGGAGGAGCTCTCCTCGAGAGTAAGGCTTGGGGCTAATTGGCCACTCCCTTAGCCTATTTAAGGAGGAACGCCGACTGAAGCAATTTGCAGGGATCAACTTAGTTCACATACCTTCGTGTCTTGTCTTGCTTATCTTATCAGCTTCCTGCAAATTGCTTCTGGGCATTCTGCCAACCACAGTAAGCTTTCAGTTATTATTCTTTGAATTCTTGGCGGCTGTTAATGCAATTAATTAACAGCCGTTGTTGTAAAAGACTGGTTAATTCAGTAAACTAAGGTATGAACAGACTTTGTGTGTGCTGTGTTCTTTGTGGTCTGTAGCTGGGGCAGAACATAGTCCTCGACTTAACAACAGTTCATTTAGTGACTGTTCAAAGTTACAACAGCACTGAAAAAAGTGACTTATGACTATTTTTCACACTTATGACCATTGCAGCATCCCCATGGTTACGTGGTTGAAATTTGGATATTTATGATAATTCCAGTGTCCCAGCATCATTGATCACCTGTTGTGACCTTCTGACAAGCAAAGTCAATGTTAAGTGAATCAGATTCACTTAACAACTGTATTACTAACTTAACAACTGCAATGATTCACTTACCAACTGTGGTAAGCAAGATCGTACAATGGGGTAAAGTTCACTTAACAACTGTCTCACTTATCAACAGAAATGTTGGGCTCAATTATAGTTGTGAGTCAAGGACTACCTGTATATATGTAAGCTGCGATGAGGGCTTAGATCAATAAAAAGAAATCAGGACAAATATAAACATAATGTAAACATAAAATCCAATAAATATGTATGTAATAAATGGAACAAAGAGGGCAAAAAATGGAAAAGTTATTTTGTTTCGAACTCAGAAATGAATCCTGTTCTAGAAATTTGGCAGAAGAGATCTTGGAAAATTCTGGGTTTTGAAAATCCAATTCAATCCAATCCAGAAACATGAGTAGAGCCACACTGGGTAATGACCTCTTTGTCAGACCTGGAAGCCATCTTTTACAGTTGGGCCTTCAGGCCTGCTACATTTTCTACTGCGGGAAATGAGAGGGGGGTTTGTATAGAGTATGGGTGATATATAGTCAAAATAACATTCTTTTCTCAGAGAGTCAAGGCCATGGTGCCCTGCAGCTGCCATGAGGAGACTGGGAGGTATCTTCAGTTATGGATGGTGCCTGATTGGATCATGTGATGGACATGTGGGTGCAGGACAGGGACTTGAACTTTCTTTGGGGTGGGGAAAACCTGGAAGCTTTCAGATTCGGGTTTTGCCAGATGTGCCAATATGACATCTTCAGTAAAATGGAACTTTGAGGAAACTCAAGCCTCGGAGTCTTCTTTAGTTGGGGTTGTTACCGTGTTTCCCCGAAAATAAGACTCTGTCTTATATTTTTTTGAACCCTGAAATAAGCGCTTGGCCTTATTGCCATGCTCTCAAAAGCCCGATTGGGCTTATTATCAGGGGATGTCTTATTTTGGGGGAAACAGGGTACTTGGAACCCTTTTGCTCAGGTACCGTACCTTTCAGAGTATTCAAATCTGCTCTTCAAGTATGTTGAAATTGCTACAGTTGTGAAAATATTTGATATTTAATAATCTTGACTACCACCGTCAACCATCACATCTGACTCTGGAGAATCTGCCAGATCTTAAAAGATACTTCAACATTTATGGACATTCATCTATATGAAATTTTCAGGGTTTGATAGTGAGACTGTGAAACTGTGAACGTTCCCTGCCGTTACCAATGTTCAGCTAGGAAATGCTGCATTCACAAATGTTTTAGAAAAGAGAATTTAATAAAAGAACAGCTTATCATGTAAGAGTGATGGTAGATTTTCCAGTCCTAAAGCATTTCATCACCATTACCTTGTAAAAGAAGCCAGAGATGCAAGAGAGATAGAATTAAGATCCCCCCCCCCCAATATTTGAAAGAGGCTCATTAGTCCCATGATCCTCTGGTTGGGTGCATTTGAGAAAGTTTCTATTAATCAGCAAATGTTTCGATATTTCAACAAAATAACATCAGTGGTATATAATTTTGGAAAATGTACCTATAATAATTTTCTGGGCTCCATGGATTGGTCTCCTTTTTAATGCCAGTCTGAAGTAGTTTTTTGTGAGTCATTCAGCTTGCATTTCACATCAGGAGAGAACTTTTATTCCTTGTGTTCTTTTTGATGAAAAGCAGGAAGTCAAAGATATTTTAATGACTTTCATGTTTAACTTTCCAAATATATTATTGCGATATAGCAGTTTCTTCGCAGAATTGCTTAAAATGATTCAAAATAGCTAGCTAGCTAGCAAGATAGTTAGTTAGTTAGATAGATGATAGATAGAAAGATAGATAGATAGATAGAAAGAGATAGATAGATGATAATGTACACAGAAATAATTTTATGCATGGCACATTAATAAGCAATGGTCCTTAGAAGCTTGCTGTCAGTATACCATATTCACAATAATCTTAACACAGATGTTATTCTATTTAAATTCTTTTAGATCAGGGGTGTCAAACTTGTGTCGTCACATCATCGTCACATGGCCTATCGTGACTTTTCCCCCCTTTGCTAAACCGGGCGTGGGCGTGGCCAGCATGTGACGCATCTGGCCTGTGGGCCGTGAGTTTGACAGCCCTGTTTTAGAACAAAAGAACATCATTTTTTTTTCTCTTAGAAAATGTCAGAAAACATTACAATTGAAATTTTAGTTTGACTCCAGAATGCTATCTCAATATTTTCTATAAGAATGACATTGTCTATTTAGGTGCCAAACTGAGCTTTCATATTCTTGACGATGAATTATATTTTATTAATTCTCTAACGACATGTGCATTCAATTTGGCTGAATCACAGATCCAGAAGTTGCACAGAATAATTTGTACCA